AAACCCCCAAGTTGAGTGATTCTTCTCCAACTTCTTCATGTTTCTCCTTAACTGAGAATCCTAAAATTTGAGTTGGCACTTTGGCAATTTGACAACATTGGGAACGTGGGTTCACACTTCCCCATCCCAGAATCATGCTTAGTTTAAAACCACCAATAGTACATGACTGGTTTCATGGCATCTGACTACACTAAACTTGTGCCTAACCATTTCTCCAGATTAAATGCCCACAAAGTTTTTTCTGAATTCTTAGGCAACTCTTCAAATCTTCTCTTTACTCTAGGTTTGAACACTTGAGAACAACTGACCATGCTTTTTATTATATCAACAAGTCACTCTTAAAAACCTTTTTTGAAATGGAGTAACTCTGATAGCATTCCTTTCATTAAGAACTCTTATGGGAAACAATGATAAATAATTGGTTCCAAATAGAACTATCCAGTCAAACAGCTAAAAAAAGTTTTGATAGCTGCATCATTAGATCATTTAGAAAACTGTGCCTGTAAGGATATAATATGAACATACAATCAGGCAAAAAAAAGTGTTGCCCATTTTTTAAAGTGTCAGTAAATTGGTAAACTTTTTATTTTTTCATATCAAAGTTGAAATATGTACTCAAGGTGTCATCTTTACCAACAAATTTGATGGGGTCAAAGTGTTCTACCCACGTATGAACTATAGAGAGGAGCTAGAGGTGAGGAGAGATTTGAGAAGATGTGCACACACACACACACACACACACGAAAGTTTTGCACCCTCTCCAAACTACGTGGATAAAAGACAAAGATTTGATTATCATACTTCATTTGGGATTTACTAAGACTCAGTTTCCTCCATGTACTAAGCTTATCTTTGTCTAGATTGTCCCATAAGACTCCCTTTCTTTACAAATTCAGACCAGCTTCATGAGTATATCCTTTTTAAAGTATCTGAAAACTGTTTTTCGCTTCTCTCTAATGTTACTAATACTTTTGCTAGAAAGAGTAGTCTTATATGCTTTATTCTTTTTAAGCATGGTTATAAGGGGGAAATATGGGATGCTTACTATACACTGGCCTCTATGCTGCAATTTTATCTTTTTGAAAAACTTATAAAGTAGGTATCATTTCCATTCTCATTTGAAGAAATAGGGACACAGGCTGGCTAGGTAATTTTCTTAAGGCCCCACAGTTAGCAGCATTCCATCCAAACCCAGGCTAAGACTACAGCCCATGCCAGCTTCAGTGAGTTGTTTTAGACCAGTCTCGTTTCCCTCTCTTTAGGTATTTTCAAAAATTCCACAACTTGTGAAAAAGTGATAGTTAACCTGAAACGTCTTTGGTTTACTCTTCTTTAATATAATATTGAAGGTACCTAGCATATTTTTTATTCTTTAATTCTTCCATATACATGCTTTATGATTGTTTTTATAGTTCTGCTACAGTTTTCTCAAGGGTAAGAGGAGATACACAGTGCTTTCTTGTCCTGTATCTTTATCCTTAAAGATATGTCTCCATTTGGTCTTATGTCATCTACAAATAATTCCTACTCAACTTTTCTGATCTTAATATACTAAGTCTTCTGCTGTAAAAGGATAGCTAGGCTTTTGGGAAACTCACAGCTCAATGGATACGCTAAAACATCAACTTAATAAACTCAGTGGCCATCAGAGAAGCACTTTCATTTGACCTGATGGCAGTTGCAACTTAAATAATGTTTTACTTGAAAAAAGAAGAGTTTTGGCTTTCAGATAAGACTCATCTAGTACAGCCAGGATGGAAAGTATAGTGACTGGCTGAGGCATGTGAACAATTTGTAAAATACTGTGAGAGCTACATGCTACAAAGGCGTAGGGCATGTGTCAGGTTCACTATAGCACCTAGCACTATGGAGAATGTCCACGTCTGAGATGAAAGTCTCGGAAGGAGGGGTGGAGTTCACAGTGCCTAAAGCGCAGGACAGCACAGTGCCATCCTCTCTATTCCCCTTGCAATCATGGTGAGGATTCTTTCTCAAACTTTGTGCAGGTGGAAGGCCGAGTATAATATAGCCAAAGGCATTACAAATTCTTCCTTTGTTAAGGAAGGCAAGACCTCCCCCCACAGTTATGCAACATCAGCAAAAACAGGGTCTAAAACAACTGTGCGTCACCCTGGAGCCAGTGAAGGAGAGAAGTGAGAGGATGCTTGGCTGCCTGCTGAATGGCCCGTTTAAAAATTCAACAATGGTCAGAGGGGAAGAGGGAGCACAAGGGCCACTGCCCGGTTTGATGAAACCAGTACTTCTCAGGTCAGTGTAAACTCAGGCCCTGTAAGAAGACATGCTATAAAGCAGATTTCCATCAACCTAGTGCATCATTTATACTCTACAGAATTATTTAAAAAGCATCCTCTTCAGGAAAAATCATGGAAAGAACTGCTCATGCAACAAATTCCAGTGCTTCTTGGATTGCAAATGTCCCTATGAGATGTTAATTATTAGCTAGATAAAACAGGCAACAGCAGCTTTCTCACTGCAGAACCAATGAATTATCTTTCATAACTCCTCTGAAAAGCAACTGCAGATGTAAAAGCTCGAGTGAAAGCCATGTTAAGTGCATTGTGTCTAGACTTTGCCAAGAAAATAAGGGAGTTTAAGTGCACAAAACCAAAAGATATTACTAAACCAGAATCTCAAATCAGTGTGAAAAAATTCAGCCTCATATCTTAATGTATCTTGTCATTAGCATTTTATATCTATGCAATCAGCTTTCTGGTGAATATGGCTATATATTCAAGATGGGCATGTATCCTACATGATGAGTAGTACCAACATAGCAAAATTATAAAGATCAGAAAAGCTTTTCAGGCATTCCTTCCCTTAAAATGTTGCACATTCCTATAACTATATCATAAACAGACTATTAGAAAGCAGATCAAACACACAAGGATATCTTCACCACACCAACAGAAAACCTTTAAAATGAGAGGATGAAGGCAACAGAAAATGAAGTATAGGTGATTATTGGGCACCACGAGACTAGGGGTGCAGCCAAACTTAGGGAACATATGAAGGGGAGAAATCCAGGACTGCCTGTACAATATATGCAGGTTTTTCAAATGTAAATCTTAAAGTGAATACTGCTTTTATGTTACTGCATAAAGGAAAGCATAACAAGGCAGCTCTACTTCCCTTTAAACACAAGCGCGTAAATAGAAGAAGGGATATGAAAAGCCAATTCTCTGTGCTGCTCCTCAATCAATTGCACTCAGTTCTACTCAATGACACAGCCACACTGCCAAGACCACTCAGCAGTTAATGGATATAATGTACAAGCACTCTGAGGTCTTCCAAAGAAAGGTAGGGTAAAAACCCACACGAGCATGGTTTTACTATGTCTTCCCAATACTGAGCACCATCATATATGAAACTCCTACAGGCTGCAAAGATTAAGATATTACTTTCTTTTGCTAATTCAGATTCTTCCATATGAAATCACCTCTTTCAAAAGCTGGAGCTTGAAATTGTAGTAGAGTTATCCTATGCCCTAGTCAAGATAACCATGACACACTGCACTATAAGGAATAAATATGCTCTTCAAGTGTTAAAGCCTGAGTTACAATCTGTCAAAATGTAGAGCTGAGGAGGAGTTATGTGTTTTTAACTATATACATCCATCACTAGCTATCACTCTTCCCACAGACAGTCAAGAAGTCAACAATGAAACATAAAAGTTAAAAATAAGTGACTGAGCAATTAATTGCTCAGAAGAGCTGCACATTAGGCATAATGTAACATATACACACAGTCCTTTACTTTTTTCATTACTGCGAATTGAAACTAACTGAAAATAAGGACTCAGATATAAACAAAAGAAAAATAAATGTGCACTGAAAAAATATGTAAAAATCAGAAGTAAAATTTCATGCTCATAATCATACAAGATCAGTGTTCTGAATGGCATGTGCCCAGAATGCATGGAGTGACTAATATATGCTGCTGTGAATACCATGAAAAATGACAATTATAGGCACTTCAAATGCTCAAAGAAAAAGTTATTTCATACAAGCTGAAACCATTTCTTCATTCACGGTGTTATAATATGTCCACTTCTAAGAGTCAATCAAGTCAGCACTTATTAGAGACTCATTGTATACAATTTACTATGCTCTAATGATAGAAAATACTCCATAAAAAAAGAAAATGGTTTACATGTGGGCATACAATAAAAATATTATAAGATACAGTATATATGTAATATATATATATATCACTGAATATAGAAAAAGTACGATCTAAAAGGAAAACACGAGATACAGAAAAAATCAATAAATCAATCACTTAAATGGGTTTTTGTTTGTTTTATTCCCATTCTATAAGAATTTATTAGGTGAGAAAAACAGCATAAAAACCTTGAAAATTACAAGTGGAAATCTTACACATTAAAAGGACAAGAGTTTTTGAACACTTCTTCAGCTTCAAAATGAATCATCTAACCAATCTCATAAGAAAACACAATATATAAGTGAAATAAAGAGAGGTATTTAATGAATATAAATTTGCTTTATAAGTTCAAGTTTCTAATACTTATTTGTTAGGTAAATAAATGAGGGGGTTTTTTGATATAAAGAAACACATGAAATAGGGGATTTTGGGTGATAGTTACATTCTTTTATGAGCCTTGGCATCTGATTCATTTCTGTATTTTGGAGTTTTTTGCACCATATTAAGAAAATTCTGATTCATACACATAAGTGGTTATACATAGCAATATTTAGCAGCTTCCTTTGCAATCTCAGGTTAGTCTTCAAGCAAACAAGGGGAGCAGGAGAAGCTTCATTCTATAGCCTGAACATATTAACACAAATTAGCATCACTGGTCTCAAGTACAAAACATTTTCCATTAAGTACAACGTGACTGTTACGGTCTTTTAAAATTACAATATTTAAACACAGGTCAAACCTTCGAGAAACCCAAAGATCCTCCCCCACCCCCAGAATGTCCTAGGGTGATATGCTTCAATCCCTATCAGAAAGCCTACCTTTAAAAAGCCTCCCGCCATTCACTGACTTAGTGTCAGCAGTCACCAGGGTCGCCAGGGTGGATACACATTCCACAGACGCCTGCTGGGAACCTAGGATTCGAGCAACGTGTGCCATCTGCAGGTCTGCTGGTCTTTGGTCTCCTTCATTTCCTTCCAGCGGTCTCGCTCCTCCTCCTGCTACTGGTTTGGCCCAGAGCAATCCAACCAATCATGTCTTTACGCTTCATAGTACACCTGTTATAGATAGAAATCGTCAACATGACATCAGAGAGCTGAAAGAGGGCCACCTGGAACACAAAGGTCTCTTTATAGACAGGATTAGGCTGCCTACGCATGGACATCTTGCCACGGGACATCTCTTGACCCACAGAACTGAGAAGAAAGAGCTTTCCGTATGCATCTAAGAAAAAACAGTGGAAATGAGGAAACATCAGTGTTTTCTGTTCTGCTTAATTTAGTTGGAGTATTTACATGGGCTGCAAATTTTTCCTTTCAACATGCTGGCCAGCATCCTGAGGCCTGGTACGTGCTGTAGGGCTAACACTACTTACATGAATTGTTAAGGAAGGGGGGTTATTATTACCTTCCAGGCTTAAAGTTTCATGAAGCCCACTGTCAGGCACCTTGCTCATGTTCATTAGAAGCTCTCGGTGTGCAGGGTTGTTCATGTGCCTAGGCATTTACACAGTGGACACATAGGTCTTCATCCACATTTTATTTATGTAACTATATATATATATATATATATCTTTTATTCTATATGTGTTTTTCTTTCCAGTCAAAATACTGTTTGATGCTACATTAAAGAGTCCCTTCTCACTCTCTGCATATTCTTTGGACCATCTCACCCACCCAGTGGCAACTAGCAAACCTGTGTCTCAGGCCTAGACTACTCTCCCAAGAGCAAGATGCAGGCGAGTACCCCATTTCTCCTCATGGACATCCCACACTCATTTCACACCCATCATGTCCCCAACTCTCACTGCTCCAGCTGCCCTCCTCTCTATAATGGGATCATCATGCACTAAATTATCCAAATTGGAAATCAGGAATATATTTTTGACAAGACTGGCTTCCTCACCCCTTGTCCAGCCAATCAGTCACCAAATTCTGTTGATCCTACTTCCTAAGTAGCTCCCAAACCCACCCATTTCTTTCCATCCCCAATGCCACTGATTTAGCAGTGTGACTGATCACCAACATCTCTCACCTGCTCTACTGCATGTCCCCTCTCTGATCTCCAGCCACTGACTGCCCAGCCCCACAGCCACAGGATCTTTGTGATGTGCAGGTATGGCTGTGTTGCTATTGCCAGTAAACAAAGACTAAAACTTCAATACTTCCTAGTAGTCTCAGGATAATAATTAAATGTCTTGGTCTAGAATACATACACTGACCCTTTTAACCTCCAGTTTCATTGTGCACCAGTTGCCTCTATACCCTGTATTCCCACCACGGTGAACTCCCTTCACGCCTCCAACCCACCCTGCTCTCTTTCTCACTTACAAGTTGTATGAGCTGATATCCCAAAGGATACTAAGCTTCCCATGACTTGTATTCATTAGTTCAATGTGGACACTTTTTTCAGGAATCTTTGCTGACCACCTTTCCTTACCCTGACCAGCCCTGGTTCTAATTGCCCTTCTGTGGGCTCCATCAAAATAGAGTTTTAGTCTCTCTCAGCACTTATCGCCCAGTATTATCATTGCCTTTTTACTCATCTGCAAGACTGTCAGCTCCCCAGTAGCAGAAAGAGGACCTGCCTTACTTACCACTGTGCCTCTGATGCCTGGCCTCGTATTGAACATGTGGTAGACATTCCATAAATATTAAATATGTTGTCATGAATGTTCAAGACTATCCAGAGGTTCAACTCTTTTTCTTTTGGTTGCATGTTTTCAAACTTGCAAAATAAAGCTAAACTCCTAGTTTTAAAATCCCTGCCCTAGAATGCTATATAATGGTGACCAACATATGTTAAATCATTTATAAGAAGGAAAGAAATTATACAAATTTTGCTAATGTAGTCTACTACTTTTGCTAAAATTCCTGAATGGGTAATTACAAATCAATTATCTCCTAAGAAAATCATACTTTTATTAAAATCATTTAATTATCAATTTCTTGACTCTCTCCTAACTAGTTTCTGCCACTTATACATGTCCCACTCTTTAAAAGAATCAAAATGTTAGGGTGTTTCTAGATTTTTATCACTCTGTACATTCTGTTCAAAGCAGCTGAAAGCTGATTAGTGTTTACTGCTCACTTCTCTACCTAACAACCAGTCAAACTTTTAAAACTGTAAACCCAGATCTCTGTAATTTACTGTTCCCTGCAAGAGCTTTGTAAGATGGGAAACAAATTACAACCTGCAGTTTTCTTTCTATGTTGATCTTTTTCTATTCCGGTTTGATGTGTTATTTTATGCACTTATCTGCTGAGAAACACAAGGTGTGAAATTACACTTCAGGTGTGAAAACACTTCTCTGTCTCAGAAACAGGGCTCTCCGCTCTTCAAACTGCTCTACAGAAAAAGCTGTCAGGAAATCGACAATGGGGGAGTGAATTTGCGTTTCCACAGCTGTACAGCTTCATGATTCTTGTAGGAAAAGTTCAGTTCAGTCACCAAACGACTTTGGCAATTCTGCCGCCAGTTATGGCTGTGGGAATTGAGTTAATCTTGCAAACAAAGACCAGCTTCTCTTACAAAGAGCAATTTCAAGCTTTGTCCTGTTCCAAGATCATTTTCTAATTACCAGAAAGGCCATTTACTACCAAACCATCATCTCTGAAGCTGAAGTGTAAGTGTGTGAAAAAAAAAGGGAAAGTAATCATTTTATAAACAGTCCAGTCTGAGGACAGGTGGCCAAAAGAAGGGAGATGTTACAATTGTTCCAGCTCAAAAGGGAACCTTCTATCAGCAGTAATAATGTACTTACTTTTTAGCATGCAGAGCAAAGGCTGTGTCCAGGAAATCCTACTTGTAAGAAATAGGGGGAAGTATGACACAGGTGTTTTGGGGTTCATTGACTTATTCTGATGAGCACCAGTCAAAATGGAAAGAGGAGGGGTCAATAAATATATAACTTAACTGAGTTAACTGAGCTCTTTTAATTCTTTGGCCTTGATAATACTTGCTACAAAACAACCCTGAGCAATATTTCATCTTCTGGAGGTGATCTGGAATGCCACCCAGTGTCCCTCGTAACTCACAAATACTATCTAAAGGCTGAATGGGTCATAATCCCTTCATCGTCCCAGAATCTACTCATCTGACTCAGCCATTTTAATGGCTTTACCAGTCACTTGTCTTTTTTTCCATAAAGGAAGATATGACATGTACCAAGAACGGTAACATTTTAACAGAACACAATCCCCAATTTATAATAGCACAAAAGTCTGTCTTTCAGAACTCAGAAGTCAGTTTTCCAAAGAAACAGCATGATACCACAGCAGTTATTTATATAGCTCAAACAATCACCTGCCCATTTGCAGCAGGTTGTTGTACCAACCAGACTAAATACTCAGTCTCAGATAGGGTGGGGCCACCATGATTCTCTGGGCAAGGGAAAGGAACTTGGTCATTGTATTGCCAACAGATTTCAGCTCCGGGCAAGTCATTATGGATTCAATGTGACCAAAGAAATGACAGTAGAAAGTTCTTGGGGTGAAAGGGTTATACCCAACTTTATTTCCAGCATGGCAGGTCAATCACCAGAATCCTGTCCACTCAGAGCGAGTCTGCATGCAGCAAGCCAGTCTCTGCCTCGGGGCTTCTTTGCCGGCACAGACATCTCAGTCTCTGACCTCGGAACTGCCACCACCCCAGCCTCTGCTCTGCTCTCCTGCAGCCTTGCAGCCGTGCCACTGTCTCACCCAGAGCCCTGGGCAGAGCTCTTTATATAGATTTAATAATGACATATTGCCCACACCTGTGTAGTGAGCCAGCCAACCAGGGCCAGGTGAGAATCCTGGCCACAGGAGCTTTCATTTTATCCACAGTCATTTAACCTCCCTTCCCTTTAAATTAGTAATTAATTACAAAATACTTTAAACATACAAAGCATACATAAGAGAACAGAGAATAATACTACAATACCCAAATACCTACCACACAGACTTGTGATATTTAGCATTTGTCAAGATTACTATTGATCTTTTCACTTTTTGTTTGATTTTTTAGGAAATAAAATACTAAAATGGAAGACCCTTAAGTATCCTTCCTTGATCCTTTTGGGTCTCTTCTCTCACTAAAGGTAATTACTCTCCTAGATTTGGAGTTTGTTATTTTCATGTATGTTTTTAGACTTCCATTACATAAGTAGATTTGACAAAGATATCCAAAAAATATATTTGATAAAGATATCCAAACAGTAGTTTGCACGTTAAAAAAAGTATTTAACGTTTTACTGTATGTCTTCCAGTAACTTACCTTTTTTCATACAACATTGCTTTTATATTATCTATCTTGATATATATTGATATATACCTGTGACTCATTTATTTTAACTGCAGTATAGTGTTCCAGTGTATTTCTAAACCAAACTCACTTATTCATTCTCTTAATGGGCATTTAATTGTTTATAATAACCAAGAACTGAAAAATAATTCAGTAAACATTTTTCTATATTTTGCATTGTACCAATATTTGAGAAACTCTTTAGTATATACCTAGGAGTGGATTCTGGTTCTTTATAAATTCTAGATACAAAATGATTTTGTATTCATATCTCCTCCTTGTCTGTGATTTATCCCTTTGCCTTGTTTACAGATGCTGTAAATTTTTGCAGAATCAGATTTATCAGTGTTTTCCTTTACAGTTGATGTATTTGAAAAATTATTTAAGAAATCCTACCCAAACACAATAAGCTCCTATATTTTCTTCTATGAGTCTTAAGAATTTCTTTTTCATGTTTGATCTTTAATCCACCTGAAACTGATCTTTGCATGTGGTGCAAGGTAGGGACCTAATTACTTTTTACATATGGGAAGCATTATTCATCAAGTAGCCTATTTCCTACCAACTGATTTGTAATACAAAGTCTGTCAGATTTGTAAGACCGACTTGAGTCTCTTTCCCTAACCTGATAATGTTTATTAACCTCATTTTATAATATGTCTTGATATCTGCTAGGGAGAATCCTTCTATCATTTTTTTTAAAACTACTTTAGTTATTAAGCTCTTGATTGGTTTAACTGTCTCTTGCATATGAATTTTAGAATCAGCTTGTCAAGTTCTGTTTTTTTAAAAAGCAAAATAAACCAAAACAAAAAAAAACTATGGGGGATTTTGGTTGGGATTGTACTTGATATATAGGTTAATTTGGGAAAAGTTGTTGCTTTCACAATATAGAATATTTTCACCAATGAACATGGTTTATTTATTTTGTTTTCTTTGGT